TACGCATGTGTACAAGAATATTCTATAAGCGACAACCCCCCCCCCCCTTACCCATCATGCTCAATATTTTTAACCACAATTTTAGTAATAGTCATAGCCACTGTCTGATTTTATTTGTGTCTGGTTAACTTTCATAACAAATTTTAACAATAACATTGTGTAAATGTAATGATAAAAACAATCGAAAGTGTAAAATGTAAGTAAATAGCTCATTTGTCCACAAATGGCGAGTTCAGAAATTCAGCGAGGTTTTCAATTACTGGCATGATGCAGTTCGACTCGCTTTCAACGTTGCTACCATTTTCCATTGCATGAGAAACGCGGCCATTGTCTTCTTTCTCCATAACATCTTCTTCCACGGCGTCCTGGCCAAGTGTATCGCTATCTTTAGCCTGACAGGCTGCACTTTCCTTCACCGAGTGGCTCTTTTTATGGCGATTTTTCGCAGCTTCGCTGGGCCAATAGCTACCACATTTTTCGCAAACGCACTTCTTACGTTTTTCCTGCATTGAAGGGCAGTAGAGATCGAGTGGACATTGTTTAAACTCTTTCGCTTTGGCGGGTAGATTCTTAATGATTAATCGTTTCTCTAAATCAGCAAAAATGTTTTTTTTGGATCCTTGAGACATTCCGATGGCTCCATTTGCTGTGTATTCATACACTGCAGGAGGGGGAAGAAATCTTTCTTGGAAAACATCTAGCCAATTTGTTGCAAAGGGTTCACAACAGCCCGGGGTTGGTGCATTTTACAATTTGAAGAGAGTTGCTTGTTGCACATGATTCGCTACCCAGCTTGGATTAGGATCATCTGGTACAAATTCCTTGCCAATTGGCACTGCCACGCAGTCGACCTTGTGGTTATCAATGACGGTGTTAGACCACACTTCCGATAAAATGTGTGCTGTGGCGAGAAAATTCCTTTTCTCCAATTCTTCGTCCGTTGTATTCCCACTTGAACTTAGGTGATTACCATTGTGGTCGTGCGATAATATAACACCAGCAATATCGTGTGACAACGGTGCCATTCGTCTTTCTACAGGATTGAAAGCTGATAACCCAGCAGCATTGACAACGTGAATAAGCGATCTTGAGCATCGTCTTGAGCACCATCTGTCTCCATCAGTAGAATTGGCTTTTGAGGGATACTTCCTTTCAGAAAAAGCTCACGCAAGTCGTAAGCATGAGTAAACGCAGTTGAAGAATCGTGTTTTCCATTTCTGACTCGTATAAACGTTTTCCCAGAGTACGACAACTCACCGTTTGGTCTTACTTCACACACAGCGTAAACTGATGGTATAAGCGTGTGGCGTGGACCAATTACAAAAGAATGATCATTTAGTCGCACTTTATAGTCTAAATGCATCCGAATAGGAGCCTGGAGGTTAGCGGCTGCAAGACCAAGAGGTACGCGAGCCTTATCGTAATTGGAGAGAAACAGTACCGCATCTGGTCCAAACAATGAACATATTCCTCGCACGTCATCCACAAAAGATTTCGCAAACATACGATCAACGTTCGCTTTCCTGAGAGTATTTTCAGGTCGAAGCAATTTAACGGATACAGTTTTCACATGACGTTTCCCTTCAATGGTATCTTGTCGCCGCGGTAAAAGGCGAAGATACGTCGCAGGCCGGCCAATCTTGAATCCAAAGCTCGACAGTTCCTTGTTCAAATCATCTAACGTTGTAACGGTGCGTAGTATTTCACATCTTCGTCTATCAGCAGAGGCTGACGAAGACTGCACAATATCAACGATCGTACTCAAACAGATTTGGCTGGTCAACTTCAAGTCTTGGGCGACCTAACGCATCTCGGGAAAGAGATCTAAAGATTTTTCGCTTACGACTCTAATACTTTCTTTCAATTTCGCTCTTCTTTTTCTTTGTCTTGCTGCTTCATTCACTCGTCTAAAAAGTTGAAAATTAGTACAATTAACTTCAACAATATCAGGTTTCCATTTTATGATTAAACAATCTTTATTCGGACCTCTTAAGTAGCATTTCCTGTGTATTTATTGTTGTTTTCAGTTCTTTAACTTTTTCTGGTTTGACCAAGGACAATCCAGTATTCTGCAGTGTAACCAGTGATGTAAGCTGTGCCTTCATATTGCCGATTTCCGTCTTTAGCTTGTCTTGTGCAGGAGCTTCTTTTCCCCGCGTCGTACTAGTAGTCGCAGGAATTGGTAATGAGTCATTCTCGCAGCCTTTTTCTTATAATAACAGCAACGAAAATTGTGTCAATATAATTCAGAAAATGTCAATATAATTCAGTTTATAACGCAGAAAATGAACATATCATACTGCCATTAAAACAGAAATCAAGGAATCAAGATTCTTTCGTGAATTTGTTATAAATTCTGCCATTGAATATTTTGTACAGTACGAATTAAGCTAGATGAGTAAAAATTGTTTTTAAAACTATACCTTCATCTCTGATCCTTCCACTGTCTTGTACTTTAGTATTAGTTTCTGATCCTTCCACTTCTCTGCTCTTTTTTTCCGGTGGTGCATTGGACGTTTTCAACCAGAAGCTTAAAGACTTACTCCTAAGTTCTACCGCTTTTGTCTTATATTCAATAATTTTTTTGTTAATCTTTTCCGGTTCAGTTTTTAAATTGTTCCATGTTTTCTGGGCCTCCAAGAACTGTACTTGCTTTTTAAGATACGGATTGGTATCTCGAAATGCTTGAACAAAGCTATCATATCGTTGTTGACCTTCCAGGACATGAATGGCCATGAATATTCGCTCAATGATTATAATTTATAATGCC